CTCGGACGACCCTTCATGGCGACCACGAGCACTGTTATAGATGTGAGGAAAGGAGAGCATGACAGTGTTGGGCGAGACAATTGTCGTTTCTGTTCGAGAGACCAGGCCTGAGCCGCAGGCGAATTTGGTTGAAGACTGTGCTTACCTCAGGGCGATCGAGCAGCTGACTGAGGACGCGTGCATGCGAGAGCACGCGAAGAGATCACTTCAGGATCGTGTTCATGTCCCGGAGGAGCACCGCACCGACAACCACACCACACCACCCCAGCCGAGTTCTAGAGAGCTGCCCCGATCTGAATGGGGCGAGAGATTTGAGTGGACGGAGGCCCGCCGCCGTTCGGGGCCTGACTACTTCCACCCTCCACCTGCACCACCGGATTCATAGTGACTGGTCTAGTCACTGTGCCCTGTACGTTTGTATCTTTTCTTTTCTCTTTATTTTCGTATTTGGTTTAGTGTCTTTGTTTTTCTTTCTTGTTGGTTAATTATATGGGTAAATTTCCTCGCACTGATGATCGACAATGGGGACATTGTTCGGTTTTAAGTGTGGGGGAGTTTTTACATGATTATGTGCTTATATGGTTGACCAGGTCTAGATCTTGTAGGTTGTTTTCATTTTCTATTTTCGTTTGAGTGTCTTTTCTTGAGTCCATTTGTGTGTTTCCCGAGTATGGATTATAGTGATTTTGAGATTTGTTGAGGATTATTGATGATGTTGAGGAGATGTGATGATGATCATGATTAGTATGCCTTGATGAACTTGATGTTGCATTTTGTTGGACATTTATTTAACCTATGAGAGGTTTGAGCCTTATTTTGTTTCTTGAGAGATATTGGTCGAATTCTTGTTGATCAGGACTTGCTTTTAGTCTGTTTTGAAATGAAGTGATTGAAGTAGTGAATTGTGAAAATGATTGAGGCATTTCTTTGACATTGCTCGTTTGGCCTTTTTCTTTGACCCTTGATGTGAAATATTCATTAGTAGCCCATTGAGCCTGAACCTATTTCTTGTCAACCGTATTGATTGAATTTCTTGGGACTTGACAGTTTAGTTATTTTGATGACGGAGCTTCTGTTTTGTGTTGGAGAAAGGGTATAAGTTATTTGAGTTGCATTTTGGGTACTTGAAAAAAATAAATTAAAATTATAAAAAAATTATAAAAATGGGGACTCGCAAGACGGGCGGAAAGGATTCTACTCCGCTTACTCTTAGAATTTTTCACGAGTAATGAGTATTGGGAAACCACTCTAGGAAACTTGGATGACCTCCAATGTTTAAACCTAGAGAATGTTGTCCTTACGTCTCAGTTTTGTTAGGAAAAAGCAAACCCCCTTAAAAAAAAGAGAAATAATAAAAAAAAAAAGAGAAAAAGTTGAGTACTTGAAGTGCAATTTAGTTGAGCATATATGAATGTTGCATGGAGTTTTGATGGGAATGATTGATGTTGTGCTGATTTTGGATAGGTGGTGGGATATTCGAGTAGTTTATATGCTCGAAGATGTGATTGTTTATTTGAGCCATTCTACCCTTATATTTTTCCTTCTCTGATTCCTACACTGCAACCCGAAAGTCCTTTTGATTTACAATTCATTATTTTGATTGTTTTAGAGTATGAATAGACAATGAGCAAGCTTATGTTGATGCATGATGATCGACCAATTTGAGCGCCCCAGTTTTATGTTCATGAAAGAAATCGAGTGAGGCATTTATCTATTATATTTTCGTGCTCGAGAGTTGTCTTTTCAAAATGTTGCATTCAAGTGTAATTGAGGTATGCATGATTGGTCATTGGAAGTTTCCTCGGCTGAGTTAATTAATCTGAGGCTTGTCTTATTTGAACTGTTATCCATGCTCGTTTGCTTGTTTTCATTTCTTTTCCTTTCTTTTTGTTCGGGACGAACAAAGGTCTTAGTGTGGGGGAGTTGTTTGTCCAATTTTTGTTGCGTTTTTCCTTATTATTTTTCGTTTATTTTCCCCTCTTATTAGGTCCTTTTATTAGTTTTCAGTTCGTTTTATAGTTTATTTCGTGTTTTCTTTATTTTAGTCTTCTCTTTGGTTTTTAGTTTGTTTTTCCCGTTTTCTGCTTTGGTTTCGTCGTTGTTGGTGTGCAGGTTGAGAGACTCGAGAGGATAGGATATAAGAAAAACATTAGTCAGGCCCGAAATACGGTTTCCAAATGAATGCGAACGAACACGGGACACGGGACACGAGATAGTCCAAGAAGCTATGCTCTCGGCCCATATCATACGTATCTTCTCTATGTTCGAACCAGAAACCATCATCTCCCACGCTTCGTCGGGCACCAATTCGTGGCCATCATTGACCTCCAGCGACACCGACACTCGTGTTCTTATTCGCAGCAAGTCATCCCAAAAAGTCGAGACCGGGCTTCAAAACCCGACAACCTCACACCCCATCGACTTACAGACCACCTTCACCACCTCACCACGACCCTCATGACAGTAGCTCTTCATCTCCATGCAGCTGCACTAGATCCTCTCATCACAGCAAATGACCTCGAGCGGGACCGAGAAGTTAAATCGAGCAGGCTGCCCAACCACTGTAGCAAATTATCCTCCACGGTGCGCCACTTTCTTCTTCCACGACATGAAGCTCACGCACACCAGAAATCCCTCCGCGCCGTGAAGCAGTCCGCCGCGCCGTGACATGGCCTTTCCTCGCGCCATGTGAAGTTCGCCGCGCCGCGCCACCACTCCTCACCACGTCACGAGCCTGCTACGTAATTTCCAGCGTCCAGTTTTATTGGCCGCGACCGCGACTTCTTCTCCCGCGGCCACGGCGAACAAAGTCGATCCCAGCAAGCCCCAACTTCAGACAAAAATTTTCGCGGCCACGGGACATCTCGCAGCCGCGGAGCTTCTCATTGCCGCGGCCCGCGGGTCTCTCCGCGGCCGCGACTTGCACGTTCCCAGATTTTTAAGTTATAGCAGATTTCGTGTTTTGGGAGGAGGATCTGTTCATATTTTCAGCACCTAGGTTTTGGACAGAGGTTCCCGTTCTTTAGCTTCCAAAACAATCTTTTTTCACTTTTCTTTTATTAATTTTGCACGTAGAACACGGATCAGATTTCGGATTTTGCTATTTCTCTCGGATTAATCTTGTTTACCGGATTGACATCCAATTTCCATTAATTGTAAGTTTTTCGTTATATCTAATCTATGGATTTATTCGTTTCGATTATGGATGATTGTGTCGATTATTCGATCATGAGTAGCTAAATCATTATGCTAGGATAGGGGATTGACGTTTTGATCTCGATTGTGATTGTGGGTATTAATGATTGATCTTCTTATGCGAGTCGAGCTTTTGATAGGTTTTTTCAATTATCATATTTGAATATTGAGAATTATTGAAGGGTGACACTTCAATTTCCAATTGATTTCAGTTGAATTCGATTTATTCTTGTTTGATGTTGGTTACTCTAATTGATTAGTCGGTTAATCTCCCTCTAGTCTATATTAATCGGCTCTTTGAACCGAAAGGGGAGGAGTCGATCGAAATAAACTCGCATAAGCTAGGCTTGTTCGTAACTGTATTACCTAGGCGTAAGTCGAATTGTTAATTTGTCGTTCAAGCTTGTTCTCTTGTTACGAAAAGTTATTGAGAATAAAAACTTGAACGATAGGTTATTCAAATCATTTAACCGAACAATCACTTGCCCATCAATTGCATTCTCGAGTTAAAACGGATATCCCCGACTCCCTAACTCCTTTAATCCTATTTGTTTTTCGTCTTAGCTCGTTATTTTTACTGCTTCATTTAAATTTATGTGCTAGTAGATAATTAAATCAAACTCAATCATTTGAATTAGTATGTTTAGGTATTTTATTTCTTTTTGTGTTCTTGAATAAACGCGCATTGTATTCCGGCTAACCTTCCTCGTGAGACACGACCCGGTGTTTGAATCTTTCAATTCTACTCCGGTAAAAATATTTACAACACTAGCCTTTCCTGAGAGCTTACTTATAAGGGTAATTCTTTAGGGGGTAGGTCGCTACCCTCCCTGAGAATTTATCTGATCAGTACTATTCAAGGTTGCTGCTCGATTTTCTGCGAAGTTAGTGTTCACTAATTTACGAAGATGTCTGTAAATAAGATATCTAATCTGGCGAGATTTGATGTGGAGAAATTTGACGGAAAAATCAACTTTGGCTTGTGGCAAGTGCAAGTGAAGGACGTGCTGATTCAGTCGGGGTTACACAAAGCTTTGAAGGGCTCAGAAATTCCCAAAGGTAGTGCTACCAGCAGCACTGAAGAAAAAGCTGGTGTGAGCAAATTTGGAATGAGCGATGAAGATTGGGAGGAACTGGATTTGAGAGCGGCAAGCGCGATATGACTGTGTTTGACCAAGAATGTTCTTGCTAATGTGCATGGAATTTCGACGGTAAAAGCATTATGGGACAAGCTTGAGGAGTTGTATCAGGCTAAAGGCGTCTCAAATCGGGTGTATCTGAAGGAGCAGTTTCACACACTGCGGATGACTGAAGGTCAAAGCATCTCAGACCACTTAAGCATTCTCAATGGGATCGTCTCGGAGCTGGAATCCATTGGAGTGAAGATTGATGATGAGGATCATGCGTTGAGACTCATCTGATCTCTTCCAACTTCTTATGAACACATGAAGTCGATCTTGATTCATGGGAAGGAGAAAATTGTATTTTCTAAAGTCACTGGTAAACTTCTTGCGGAAGAGAGAAGGATAGATGGTGGACGAAACAATTCACCGGCAGGTCAAGTCATGCTCGCCGGTGACGGAAAGAAGAGGAACTCCAGGAAGAAGCAAGTCGTGATTTGCTGGACGTGTGGACAATCTGGGCACGTAAAAAGAAACTGTCCGAAAGGAGGAGCAGGTTCGACAAAAAGCTCCAAGTCGGTAAGTGGAGATATCGAAGAAGCTAATTTTGTCTCTCTCTCTCTCTCCATGGATGAGTTTTGGTAAGAGAGAAAGGGGAGTCCTTATGGCATGTCGCTAAGTGCCATGAAAGAGGACGTGTTACAATTAGCGGGTCCACAGTTTACACACGGGCATTGGTTTGGCGGTGATGCAAGGTGTGTGGTGGAAAAAGCGTATCGAGGGCTGATGAACTTCCAGGAAAGCCAAACGTGGAAGTTGCACCATAGATTTCAGCAAGGTTATTTCGACATGGGCCGAAGAAATGCTTGGATGCGAGTCCGAGTGGATATGCTTTTATGGTAGAGCATGATAGCGAAAGCTATGAAAAATTTCATCAAAGTGAATAGTGGCTGTCAGATGGGCAAAAATCGCAAGGTGGAGCTTGTTGGGTTTTTGCTCTTTTGTCCCACATCGGTGATGGGATGAGAGAGGGGGGGAGTTTTTTCCTATATAAAAAGGTGCTACTTCTTATGTAAAATCATCCCACATAGTTATTGTGTTAACAATTAATCTATGGTTAAAAATTCCTTAGGGTGAGAGTTAGGGTTAACGGATAGAAAATTCTGTGGGGTAATTTTCGGTATAAGTGAGTGTAGAAAAATTATGTAATTTTTTACATAGTGGATTTTCTACGGCCTTGTTGCCCTGGTGGTTTTTCCCTCTTCGTTAACAGAGGGTTTTCCACGTTAAACTTTGTGGTCTTCAGTTTTATTATTTTCAGCAAATCTTGGGCGGAGTTTCGGTGTGGTCGGAATTTCCAACATATGGAATATTCATTTCACCTTATAATAACTTTTCTTTGAGAATTAATGGTTGAATAAGTTAATATAATTTACCTTAGTATAATGTATAACTTTTTTTTTCTTATATTTGAAAAATCTATATCTGTATAATGAACAAATCTTTGTTACTATAATTGTCATAATTTTGGTCGGAATAATATTTTCATCTATATTTAGCATATACTTAATATTTATGTATTAACAAATTTGATAAATGAATATTAATTATTTTTTGTTACTCAATGACTAATATTCATTAGCTTAAATTGACTTGAATGGAATATTAGTTGATTAAATATATTTTCAATAAGATCATGATATTAATTTCAAAGTATTTTGTTGAAAAATTTGAAAAAGAAAAATTCATATATAGTATCAAACGACCTCCGATCGGCTAGTATAGACTGAAACTTTTAGATCGCGAGCTAACCGCCAGTTGAACATCCTCGAACCTGTAGAGCTCTCACACCGGAGGGGGTCTTCATTGAAGAGCCTTTGATGCTTAAATGAGTAAGGGTAGAAGATGAAGTAGAGAGAGAAACCTATGTATGATAATGTATATTAGAGAATGTAATGTGATTCAAGACATACATTTTTCCCTTTTATAGGGAGATAATACCTTATGGCCCAAGTCGGGCGCATGAGCTGCCTCGTCCTCTAGCGCGTAAGTTGTCCCGACTGTCAGAGCTATTCGGGTTGTCAGACAATTATGAGGTGTGAACCTCTCATGTGGTCCCACATGGTTCTACCCATGTGAGGGGTTTAATTCCCTAAAGATTCCTTCTTATCTTAGTTCTTCATATTAGATGGTCTAGTCATAACTCGGCTTTCCTCGATATATAGCGCATTGTCATTGTGCTTCAATACTACGCTCACCTAGTCGACGACAAGATATTCATTTAGTTCGAACTTCTCTCTTATTGACCTGACCGCACCATCAATATCCTGAATGTTCTACTCGACCCCCTCCCCCTTCAACCAGTATACTCTTTCTTATTCGTTAGATCTGATGAATGATCTTGTTTGGTCTGATCGTTTCACCGGTCTAGTCGACCTGTTACCGTTATTTCATATCAATATAATTATGAAAATTCATTTGATTAATTATATTATCATCTCATGGTTGTAGATATTGACTGTATTAACTATGTTCATCTATCAAAAGCACTTAAGATATATAAAAATTAATCAGAATAATTGTGTTTGGATCATATCAATTTAATGATTAATTTACTGTATTAATAAAATTTGCTAAAACATATAGTCAACATAACCATAAAAAAATGTATACCTAATTTGTATTGGGACTACTATTGAAAAAAATAATAATATATTAATAAATTATTATTTGATGGTCAGGTAAAATTAAGAATTATAAGTTCCACATTAGAAATATATACATACATAAAAAACGATTCAAGTTATAAAAAATGTAATTTTTTATTATATACTATTTAATATAGGAAAATGAGTAAATAAGATAATATAGTCGACTATCATAATTAAAATTATTGCATTTGGTAATAACTGAAATAAATAAATAACAAAATGTCTAAATTGTATATTAATACAGTCATTATATATATTGAAAAAATGAATTAAAAAATTTATAGACAAAAAAAATAAAAATAAAGTAGTTTACTATGAAAACCGTTGCATATTGGATTAAAGTTACTACAATTTGAATTTAATTATCAAACAATTAATATTTCATTCATCTAGAATTATAATAAAGAGAAATAAATTTTATGGGTTTCAGTTAGTTATCGAGCAATATGTAGAATATGGATTGTTAAAAAAAATTATACAAGGTCAAGAAATCGGTAATTTGTATACAAACATCGTATTAAAATTTTAGATATTTATATGATTTATAAATAAATAAATAAAAAATTATATGTTAATTAGTCAAAACTTACAAATATAATTTAAAATGATTATAAAAATATTCGAATAAACTTTATATTAGTACTGACTTGATATGCGTGTCGGATAAAATTAACATATTATCTTAAATAATTTAATAATATTTAAATAATAAAACATTATAGTATATTCGGTTCATGACACGAGTATCAACAATAGTTCTGTTTTGAATGAAATTCGTACTCATGTAATTTTTCGTAGTCTCGTTTATTCGCATAATCAATCGTCGAACGAAACACTTGTCGCAATTTAAGCTTCATCCCCTCATCGCCATATTTCAGACTTTGGGACCTCCTTTTCCAGTGTGTTCTTCGTTCTCCTCTGCCGGTTTAGCTTCATTCAATTGATTCCTGTTCCGAAAATGGCAGGTTAATTCGTCTCTCTCTCTCTCTCTCTCTCTCTCTCTCTCTCTCTTCTTTTACTTTCTAATTGTATTGATCATTCGTTCGCTAAAACATTTTTCATATTCATCTGGTTGCAATTTAACTGTGGGGATGTTGTGCTGTTGAGAGTTGAACTCTAATGGTTGGTTTAGTGATGTGTTGGATATTGTAATTGGTCCAGTTAAACGTTATATAATGCTTTCTTTATATTAGTTTAGCTACTTGATTCAGGTAAATTTAGCTGTTATATCCTCGTTAATTAGGATGGATGAACTGGAAAAGTAAGATGCAAACACGGACATTGACGGAATGGTTTCTTGTTTTCTTTCGCTTAGACAATCTGGAGTTGAATTTCACCTGTGCTTGTGTGTTAGTCGGTTAGTCCATTGGAGTTCGAATTTGGATGTAAACATTTTTAATCTATATATATATATATATAATTGCTAGCAAAACAATTAATAAAATCGTTATTTATCATAAATATTTTTGCAGATGCCAGCTTTGCATTCAAGAGTTGTGTATTTACTGTCAAACGTGTTGGTCACATGCGATGTCCACTTTGTGTCAACTGTTAAACCAGACGAGATGCCGTTTTATTTCCTAACCGACTGAAGTTCCCCATAATTAACTAAGTTCCTTGACGAAAGGAGTGTCTTGATTTTTAAGTGCTGCTAATCTTGATCAGTAGTATTCTGAAATCATATTTATCATGTACTTTGTCATTTTCCTTCTGGGCTATTGACAAATTCAAATAAGAGTTAGTGAAATTGTGAAATGATATATTGTCTCTAAAGAGTGAGTTTTTTAGTGTTTTCCTTATTGCTCATCATTCCATCCGTTTTCCCAGTTCTTCATATGTGTGTGTGTGTGTGTGTGTGTATGTGTGATTGTGTTTCAGTTTTGAATTTATTTCAGGTTGCGGCGTTGGTTTTGCATTTTTCATTGTGGTTATTATCTTCATTGTCTTAAAAAGGTGGTTAAACAATACACATGTTTATAATAACTAATCTGAGATTTGATGTAGTTGTTAGGTTGGAGTTGTTTGTTATATATGTTCTATGATTGTTGAACTTGTAGTTTGTGAGGAGTTAGAGGCTTTAGCTATGAAACATCAACAATAAGGTCCACCGAAATTTATCACCTGAATATAGTTAACGAAGAATAATTTTTTCTCTGTCCTTTTCTCAAACGAGCAGTGTTATAACAGTCACACGTTTTGTGTAATTCAAAGTTGGCTATCTTGTGTAACTATGTTATAAAATTTTCCATTGACTGGTAACAACTATTTGTCAAATACTGATAAAAGTTCAAGCTTTTAATGAGGTTCCTGTCAGTGACAAACATAATGATGGTGCAAATTTTCAATTGTCATGCAGCAGTGTCAAGCAAGGTTGTCCAACATGTACTGGTAGCACATTGCTGCCAGCAGGATAGGCAGTTAAGCACTCAATACCAAAAGGATTGTTGTACCCCTAATAGGCTTAACTTATTTCCCCACATAAGGAGGAAGTTGGCATGGACTCAAATCTCCACCATGCAATTGCACACATTCTCAAAATTTAACCGAGGAATTGTTTACTGCAATGGTCTGTTCTAGATTCTTATTACTCAGGTCGATATATGTTTAAGCCTTACAGCCCTTGCCCTTCCTGGTCCTGACCTTTGGAATGCTTTAGTGATCTAACCATTTGATTTGCGCTTCTGTATTCTTATTCTTGTTCTCATTCAATTCACTATCTTTTCCTTTATTTATTTATTTATTTTTTAAATTAGCATCCTTGCTCATTTTCATCTAGCAGATTATTATTGTTGGTAATTATTAGTTTGTTGTCAGTCACAAACACTGTGTTTGTACATACTCTATTTTGCTTTGCAGCAGCCGCATATGCCACCGTCTTACAACCTGTTGACAGAAGTGCTTTTCTCAAGCTTCAAAATGGGAGGTCAGAACAAATATTATTTGTTCTATTTCTTTGTTTCGTTATCTCGAATTTCGCCTGACGTGGATATTGATTAAGCCATGTGACAAAATTATGTTGTTACACACATAGATGACTGAACAGGCTTCCAGTCATTGCTCAGAAATTTAATCACACGTTCTTTCTTTCCTTCTCTTCCGATAATCTCCTTGAGCTGTTATCAACTTTTCTGAGTTTCTGAGTATTAGTTATGTTTCTAGGCTTTTAGTTACCTAGGTTTTTTAATACTGCCCAAGTCACAGGTGTTGTGCATCTCGGTATGTCGTATGCTGCTAAATATTTTTAGTTTCTGGAATTGAATTTCTGCATAGGTTTCACATCTTCTTCACAAAGTAGCTGATTGTTGTACTGCTTTTGAATATTGAAGAGAGTAGGTTTTAAGTTAAACCTCTGATCCGTCATAGTTTAATGTTTGTTCTCAAATGTTTTAACATTACCACATGGTCCAATCTGGGGTCTGCGTCTGAGTCTTGCGCAGTGGGATGCGCTAGCCACTTTTTTCACTTAGTGGTGCTCTTTATTGTCTTTTATGTAGTCAAATTATGATTACACCAAAGGCTCCATTTTATATCCCTAATATGCATTATGCTGATATTGTCATCTTTCTGGAACAGTGACATTCGAGGTGTTGCTATAGATGGTGTTGAGGGCGAACCTATTAACCTCACTGAACCAGTTACAGAAGCCATTGCAGCTGCTTTTGTTGAATGGTTGCTGAATAAGAAGAAGCCTGCTGCTTCTAGACAGTTGAAAGTCTCAATAGGACATGATTCACGAATATCCGCTCAGAAGTTACAGGTCTTGGTGCTTCATATTGTGAATTAAATTGATCTTGAGGACACTGGTTCTTATCAACATTAACACGGAACTCACATTATCGTGCTAAGTGTATTCTCTCACGTTTCCTTGTCCAAATATAGTACCTTGTTTGTGTGGTGCGCCAAGTGTCATTGTATGATGGTATCAGTATCTAAAACTCAGAGTGGCCAACGATTGATGTTCATGAGTACAAAGGGTGATTAAACTAAAAGGGTTTGTATTTTCATAAATGAGATTGTTGGAAAAGATATGGTATTTAGCTCAAGTGTTTAAGAAGCCAATCATATATGTCAAAGTACAAGTTCTCTTCCAGATGATTTTGGTTCTTTTGAGATGCCTGGTTCTGAATGTTTTTATCCCATATGCTGAATGGACGATCCTACTCATTTTGAGTGCTTTTTAATTATCATGATGGTAGGGAAGCTTTCATTTTATACAAGCTTAGCATGTGTGTGCTACATCTTAGAGTCCCACCACTATATGATTGTGTACATGAATAAGCCAGTTTTTCCAATGGTTGAACTGAGCACATCAATTTCAATTTGTTAGGACTGCTAATACTACTACCAATAATAATAATAACCACAACAATAAATATTATATGGTTTCTTATGTATGTTGTGCCAATTTTTTTATTTTTTTCCGTTGTTTAGGAAAGTTTGCAAATTAATGAATGATTATCTTTTTAGCTTAGTCTTTCCATAGTTTTGAGCTATCTTCGCTGCCATGTGGGCAGTGAATGTGGCATGTTTGTGGCAAATATTATTGTGGTTTAATGGCTTCCCTGCTGATTCTTTCAGCAGCTTAAAGTGATTTCTAATTATTTCTCAGGATGCTGTATCACGAGGCTTGGCTGGTGCTGGTGTTGAAGTTATTCAGTATGGGTATGTGAAGTTACCCCTACTATGTCATTTATCAACTTTTTGTGCCAAGGAACAGAAAGAAATAATCCAATCACCTCTTCAAAGATCCCAGAAATGTGATGAAGACAAGCTACTAGTTTCCATTGTCACATCTTTTCAATATAGAGTTAATGTTATCATACACATAGAAGAATCTACTATTTATGAGAGAAAAATGGAACTTTAAATTGTATCCCATGAGAATTCTGACCTGAATGCTGAACCCTAATGATTTACCCTTATCTATTAAATGATGCCTTGCCTCCCGACCTTTTTACACACTAGATCTACAATTTTTAGTAAATCTAGTAATCTACAACACAGTACATAGAAGTACATTTCTGAGTTCAATGAATGGTAGGCACAAAACTGTATGAAGTTAGTTGGTTTGAAAAGTTATAGAAGGGCACAACACTGTATGAAGTTAGTTGGTTTGAAAAGTTATAGAATTTAGAGCTTGTACTTGGAACCCATTATCATCTCAATTTGGTGAGGCACGATCCTTTGTGTAATATATATATATATATATTATGCGCTTTCAATTTAGTGTTATTTTCCCGCTATTTTTGTCATTTATTTATGGAAAGTGATCGTTACATTTTACATTATTTTAAATGTAATAATATTTTTTTTTAACTTATTTGTCATATGATAATTATTACCAATATTAACTAATTATAAATTCACTCGAAAAATTTATAAAAGTTATACACTTATAAAAAATTATAGCAAATTTTTTTTTTCAAGGAATATATTCTAAAATTAATATTTAGTTCAATCTCATTAAGTTTTTTAATAGCTAATTGATTTTAATGGCATAGCAAATTAAATCCCTTAACATTGTATGAACAATTGCTATAATAAAAATAATTTGATTTTTCAACTAATTAATTGGTCACGATTTCTTAAATTTATAAGAAATATATTATTCAGTACATTTTTTTATGTCATTTATATAGTGATACATATATAAGTAAAATAGCAAATTATATTGTTCATATTTACTGATGATCAAATTTATAAAATGTGATATGTATATTATATATTTTATAATTACAAATATAATTTTCTTACATCTAATTTATAATATTTTATTTTCATTTGTGCATATGCACAAAATTAACTACTAGTTGATTAGAAATCTAAACAATAGGTGTAGGCTTCTTTTACTGAAGTGAGCGGACATTACATGAGGGAACCTCAATTGTTATTTATTATCGTGGTTTTGAGACAAAAGTTGGATAAGTAATAAGTAGTGTATTTATTATTTTCTGGTTGAATAATGGTGGAGCAGTCTTTTACGAGTTGAATATGTCCAGTTTGTGCTCAACAATCGTATGGGGAAAGATGTCCCACTTGGCCTCACATGTGGACTTGAAACACTTACTTTTTCTCCTTTGTTCATGATTCGAGTCACTACCATATTCTCTGGGGTAAAGGATAGACTGAAGGTGGTTAATTTATTGAACCTAGGCAATCCGGTATTTAGGCAAGAAAACAATTGTAAGGATAAGTGTGGAAAGTGATTCCATATGTCAAAAAGATTGCAGATGATGGCTCTCTTTGTGTTATATTCTTTCATTCTTTGGGTACCATACTTTGGATACCAACGATAACCTCTATACAACTTATTATGCTGTTATATCCATTGTGTTGTAGACTAGCATCCACACCAGCTATGTTCAATAGCACCCTCACTAAAAGTGAAGAATTTCTTTGTCCAGTCGATGGATCTATTATGATAACAGGTATGCTATATTCATCATCATCAAAGTTCTTGTGGTATCTATGTCTCCAATTCAATGTTAGATTTATGTTAATAAGTAATATCACTGAAATGGCCAAGTTTAGAAAACCTTTTCGTTGAGCAGTGGAAAGGCTCCTGCTACTTTATTTGGAGACAAGCTCAATTTTGCTTGTAGATATCTGCGTCTGAGTAATTTTGATGCATTTGTTTATTAATAGAAAGATGATTTTTCTGTGATGACAGCAAGCCATCTTCCCTACAACCGTAATGGGTTTAAGTTCTTTACTGATGCTGGTGGGCTAGGGAAAGCGGATATCAAAGACATATTGGAACGTGCAGCTGATATTTACAGAAACTTCACAGATGAGAGTCTAAAGGACTCGGCGAAAAAAGCCGCAAAATCTGTAAAAAGAGTAGATTATATGTCTGTTTATACATCTGATCTGGTGGGAGCCGTTAGGAAAGCTGCAGGGAACAAAGGTGTGCCTTTGTACCTACAAACAGAAGATCGTGCCCTTTGATTCACACTTTTTCATTACAAATAAAAGAGTGAAAGTATTTTATTTATTTTTTTTCTGTTCTTTTAACATTTTCGACCAATGCTCTTGTGATATAACCGTCATTTTGTGGAAAGTCAAATATTTTAATTCTAGTTAGTTATAAAAAATTTCAGAGAAGCCACTGGAGGGATTCCATATAGTTGTTGACGCAGGGAATGGAGCAGGAGGGTTCTTTGCTGTAAGTTCAGATTTCTCTGTTTTCCACTGAGGTTAACATAACTAGAGAACACCACCACCCACCAACCCCCCAAAAAAGAGAAAAATGAAAAATCACGAAGATGAGGCAATTTGCATGCATGCAATGAAGAACTTAGGATACTCAAATGCTACTTTTGTGATACTCAAATGTATTCAAATACATAAAAGACTTCTTCTTGGCCAGTAGTGTTTATATGCAGTCAAAATATTGATATATTGTCAATGGGATGTCCATATGCATGTCCAGAAATAGGTTTCCCTTCATTTGATGTTCTTGCCAATCTATGAGGAACACATACGAGTTGGGTCAACATCTATGCGAACATTTAGAAGAACCTTATAGCAGACAGTTACCCCAGAACATAATTTCCTTTGGACCGGATCCGTATCATTTGCTAACTGAAGATCCTATGAGTAGTTAATAACTTAAAATTTTGCTTTCAATGGCCTATCAGGGAAAGGTGCTCGAGCCTTTAGGAGCTACAACCTCTGGAAGTCAATTCCTAGAGCCGGACGGTAAGACTATTCAGAATATACACTCTTTTTCAGGAATTCATACAAAATTACCCTGACGTTTATTCGAAACATATTTAAAATTACAACTGCCTCTTGAAGTATGTATTTGATCAGGATTACCCCCTTAGTAGTTGCAATCTGTATAAAACACAAAGGAAGCATATTGTAATTCTGAAAGATACCAAGTTCTGGTTTAATCTCTTTAGACCTAAATGGTTGTGACTCTGCTTAAATCTTACTAGTCTATTTTTTATTTTAAATCTGAATTGTTTTTCCAGGTCATTTTCCCAATCATATTCCTAACCCGGAAGACAAGGAAGCCATGACAGCTATCACTCGAGCCGTGCTCGACAACAACGCAGATATGGGCATCATCTTTGATACTGATGTTGATAGGTTGAAATTTGTTGTTTTTTCTTGAGCAACCTGTACGTCATTTGATGTGGTCTCTAATAAAAGATGGTACGTATTGTTTTGGCAGATCTGCTGCTGTTGACTCTACCGGGCGTGAGTTAAACAGGAATCGTTTGATAGCTCTTATGTCTGCTATTGTCTTAGAGGAGGTCTGTTTTGACTTACTCATTCCTTCTGCACACTTATATGTTTTGCCCAAAACCTGAAATGATGTCTGTTTTGTTTTGTCCAACCAGCACCCTGGGACAACTATAGTTACAGACAGTGTGACATCTGATGGTTTGACTATATTTATTGAGAAGAAGCTGGGTAAGTTACATAGTCAGTAAATAATTATTCTTTCTGGAAATCAGCATGCTGAAGCCAAATTAATTTTATCAGGTGGAAGGCATCATAGGTTCAAAAGAGGCTACAAAAATGTGATTGATGAAGCTATTCGTTTGGTAATGCTTATTTTATAATTATTTCCCTGGTAATCTTGCTTATAAGTTGTATTATCAGAATTTATTCTTTGTTTAGCTGCCTTTTCCTTCAAATGTCATGTTAGTAGTAAAGGATCGGAGAGACAGATTTATCATAATAAAAGAAATGAGAGAACGATGACAGAAGTAGTAAACTTCCCAGGAAGATAACTTGCCCAATGGCATAGCCATTAAGATTATTTTTCTCAATGTCTAATCATAACTTCTCACTCCCTTTTCTAAGATTATTAGGTAATAGATAATAAATAAAAAGTAAGATAATAATTCTTCCATGACAAAGGTCCATGATCCCACGATTCCAGCTAATTTCATGGATCAGGCTGATTGTATTCCCGTGACGCATTTTTTCCTGCTAGCTTTCGCTTTCTGTGAGTAAACAATCCAATGTTTCTCACTCCTTAAATCTTTACAATCATTCAAATTTGGAGAAAAATGTTTGAGGTGAAAGAACATTTGGAGTTCTTAATGTGATACTGACTTGTGGCACGGAGTGTGAAAACATCATTTATTCTCAAAGCAAGTTTCTTCATGGTTAGTATCTGTAAGAAGATAAATCTACAGCACGATAAATCTATAACACAACCTAAACTTGTATGAATTGTCCTTTAGGCCTTACTCAGAAGGTGTATCATATACTAGATAAATTGATCCTATCTATCATACATGATGTGGTGGCAAAGGCTTATTAGGAACAGTTTTTGGATTCACGAACCGAGGATTTGAAATTTTGTTATGGCAAGTCAAATTGTGTCAGCACCCAGAATAACTAGGTAGATCGGCTTGAGTGGTTAGCTCGAGTATGGCTACTTCAGGGGTATTTTGACCTCGTCAAGGAGCTCGCTTAGGCGCTCTGGGCACCTGATAAGAAGACTTTGAGGTCGAGTTCCTCCATGAGCTTGGATAGATTAGGGGACCTTGGGACCCGAAGGTCGTGAGAGTAAAGGTCGTGGTTAAGAAGGTAGGTTGTGAGGTTGTCCGGACGATCTAAGGACCTAAGTGTTGTGTGGTAAGAGGAGAAAAAAATTCTTCAAGGGTGGAAAGTGTATCTTGCAAATGAGTCTGAGATTTTTGAGACGTGATAAGCTAGGAAAGTAGATACGAGTGTTTCACTTTCCTAGCGAGGACTATAATTGAGCAGCAAAACACCCTGGTTGGTATATAAGAGTGATCACGTTTTACTTTCACATAACGCATATTTACGCTTACAACATACATTTTACATATTATCACGAGCAAGTACAGACTTGAGCATCGAAGGTTTTTCTGCTGGGATCCCTCTCTGGCGTATTGTAGGTCACCGGAGCTCAAGGACGAAACACCTATCGTGTTAGTGCCGGTTTCACCCGGTTTTAAGAGAATTTGCGTATCAAATTGGCGTCGTCTATGGGAAGTTGTAGTCTTTTACCGGCTATGAAGGATTAAGTTGGTTTCTCACATTTTTTTTAGAAATTCAGAGATTATGACATGACTGGAGATAGCTCAAAGAAAAATCTAGTGAAAGATATGGAGAAGGCGTCGTATCTCGAGTTCCTTTGGGCTTAGGTCCATACTTGGTTGGTCGAAGCAATCCAGAGGTTACGCCTAATGTGACACTGCAAGGTCCGCGTACCGTCTTGACCCCAGTGTTAAATGTGTCAGAGCGACCTCCGTCGATGCAAGAGTCATTGGTCGTCTAACTGCGGATTAGGGAAGAAGATTAGGAGATTTAAAGAGATGTGCGGGAAGTTGAAAGCAACATCTAGAGGGCCCAGGGGTCAACTGACTTCAGTAGTGAGTTGAAAGATGAGTATGAACAAAATCCCCGAGGACAAGAGGTCCCAGGGGATCAAGTTCCTAGCGAACTGGACAAAATTGTGGTCGAGGCAGTAGCCCGAGCTGGGGCACCCGGCGAGGCAAATCCGACGACGCAAATCCGGTCTCCATAGCCATAGAATCAGAGAAGAGTGAAGGAGGTAGAGGTGAGGTCCTTCGCCTACTACCTTGTGTACACCAGCAAGGATCCTTGCTACCATGGAGAGGTTGGCTGCCTAGCTGCGCGAGCTACAGGCCTGAGCGGAGGGCAGGATAACACCTGAAATTCACGGCTCCGTTTTTCGAGGAAGTTCTGGAGGCCAATCATCCAAATAACTTTGCAAGTTGAGCTTATCTTATGATGGTTTTACTGACTATACCTCAGATCTTCCAAAGACATAGCAGTTTTTCATTGGTACAACAACGCGGTTTGGTTTGTTGCAGAGGTTTTCTTACCACATTGAAGTGGTCAGCACAAGACGATATACAAGTGGAGCTTTAAGTTCACCATCGCTTCTAGAGTGTGATGAAGCACTAGAAGACCTTGGCTCTGATCAACATGCAACTGAAGGAGGAGAGACTCCAAGAGTACGTAGCTCGCTATACTATGGAGTGCATGGAGGTCCTTCAGCGTCTGAAGAGATCAGACGATATGCAGGTGGAGCTTTAAGTTCACTATCGTTTCTCGAGTGTGATGAAGCACGAGAAGACCTTGGCTCTGCAACTGAAGGAGGGGAGACTCCAAGAGTACGTAGCTCGTTATACTATGGAGTGCATGGAGGTCCCTTCAGCGTCTGAAGAGATCAGGGCAGGAGGTCTAACAAGAGGTCTCTGACTAGGAGCATGTCAAAATTGCTAGCAAAGAGGTAACGAGGTCTTCTGATAAGCTGTTGGCCCGGTGCGTGAAGTACATTAACATGGAGGTGACGTAAGATGATTTTTGCAAATCGAAAAATCTAAGGTCAGTCGAATTGAGGAGAAGCCACGCTCGTACGACAAGAGGTCTTCAAACAGAGACTTTAGGACGGAGGAACACAATAAGATGTTGTACAAGTATGAGTAGTATGCGCCCTTGCGCCCTTGATTGCCCTTTAGAAATAAGTTTTCAAGGTCCCTGAGAAGCGCAGGGACATGGGCATATTCGCCCAACCTACCCCCATTCCCAAGAAGCGAGGATATGTGCCCTCTCGAGATGATCCCTACTGTAGGTACAATAGGGACTATGGTCATTGTACCAACAGTTGCAGGAAGCTAAAAGATGAGATTGAGAGGCTGATTTGAGCACGGCATCTCACAAGGAGTTCATGGGGTGAGATAAGGAAAAGAGAGATGATCGTAAGGTCACAGAGAAAAGGAGGCGACTGAGGAAAGATCACCCAAGAGGGGTGGAGCGACTAAAGAGAGATCGCCCAAAGGGTGGATCGTGTGATCCAAATGATCGCTGGAGGTCCCACCGACTGGAACTCCCTTAATGCGAGGAAGAGGACCTATCATGGCAAAGAGGTCGCTGAGGTTCAGGAGAGCAATCCAAGGTCGTGTTGAAGTGACGCCTTGGTTATCACGACCTAGGTAGACAACTATGATGTGTAACGGGTGCTCATCGACAGTAGGAGCTCGGTTGCCATCATTTTTCTCCAATGTTTGAGGCAGATGGACCTGGATATCAAAGTCGAACCCATGAACATGGACTTTGCGGGTTCAACGACAATGAGGCTACATCAATTGGTGAGGTGTGCGGTAGCGTTGGGACAACCACCCCAGGTCAAGATGGTTCGCTTTTTGGTGGTGGACACCAGCTCGGCGTATAACATCGTTCTTGGGCGCCCCAGTCTTAACACGTTTCAAGATGCAGTATCAACATGTTGCATAAAGGTAAAGTTCCCAGTTGGGAACAGGGTCGGCGAGGTGGCAGACCGGCAGGCTAGGTCGTGCTACCAGGTGATTCTCAACTCTTAAGAGCAGAAGCGCAAAGGAGGAAGAGAATTCGGGAAGCAGACTGGCCGGAGAGTTCTAGTAAAGAGGAGATCTGAGAAGCTCAAAATATCATGGCAGGACGATCTCATGGAGATTAACCTTATAGAAGGAGAGGTTGGGAAGGTGACTAAGGTTGGAAGTCATCTCCCAGAGGACATTTAGGGTGCCCTTATCGCCTTGCTGAGGGAGTATGCTTACATTTTTGCTTTTTTTCAACATAAAACCTCACGAGGATAAGACCAGAGGTGGCTAAGTGGCTAAGCATAGGCTGAACATTGACCCGAATGTGAAGTCGAAGAGGAGGCACATCGGTGCAGAGCTCGACCTGGTGATCGAGGGTGAGGTTTGGAAGTTGTTGAAGGCAAGTCATATCCGACCTATATAGTTCTCAGAGTAATTGTCCTTCGTGATGGACCAAAAAGGCGAGGGAAAGTGGCAATGTGCATAAACTTTAGATACCTCAACAATGCGTGTCCAAAGGACCACTACCCTCTGCTCTGCCAAGGAAAGACCACCTCGTGGACTCAACGGCGGGATGCGAGTGCTAAGCATGATGGAAGCTTCTCAAGAATACCACCAGACAATCTGGCGGTTGAAGTCCAGAAGAGGGTCAGCTTTGTGACGTCCAAAGGCACCTAGTGTGGTGATGTCTTTTGGACTCAAGTATGCGAGAACGACTTACCAGAGGCTGTCTGTCTTGGTAGACAGACAATATGTTCAAGGACGAAGAACACGAAGGACGTTTACGAGGACGGCATGCTCGTGAAGAGCTAGAAGGCTGAGTCACGTTAACGAGCGGTTTGTGATGTCCAAAGGCACCTATTGTTATGTGGTGATGCCTTTTGGACTCAAGAATGCGAGGGCGACGTACCAGAGGCCGGTAGACATTATGTTCAAGGACCAAGTCGAGAAGAACATGAAGGTCGTCTACGAGAACGGCATGCTCGTGAAGAGCTAGAAGGCTGAGACACGTTAACGACTAGAGGGAAATTTTTGATATGTTGCGGAGCCACGGTATAAAGCTTAACCTAACGAAGTGCAAATTTGGGGTCGGATACAGAGAAGAAGAGCATTGAGGTCAACCCAGAGAGAAGGTGAAAGCTTTGCTCGAGATGCAGGCATCAAAAGTTTGTGATGTCCAAAGGCACCTATCGTTATGTGGTGATGCCTTTTGGACTCAAGAATGCGAGGGCGACATAGCAGAGGCTGGTAGACATTATGTTCAAGGACCAAGTCGAGAAGAACATGAAGGTCGTCTACGAGAACGACATGCTCGTGAAGAGCTAGAAGGCTGAGACACGTTAACGACTAGAGGGAAATTTTTTGATATGTTGCGGAGCCACGGTATAAAGCTTAACCTAACGAAGTGCAAATTTGGGGTCGGATACAGAGAAGAGAAGAGCATTGAGGTCAACCCAGAGAGAAGGTGAAAGCTTTGCTCGAGATGCAGGCATCAAAAGTTTAAAGGAGGTTCAGGTCCTCGCAAGTCACTTGTCCGGGTTGAGCAGGCATTGCCCAGTCCGCTCTCAGTGTGCTATTCCCTTCCCTTAGTTAGCGAGCCACCAACCATAAAGAGAGCTAGTTTTGATTTGTTGTGGATTGGATGATGGAAAACCAGCAAGCTACGACTTGAAAGCTTACCGCTCCAACTTCCATAGTAAGGTGCCTGAAGGTAGGTCGACCAACGGGAGAGGATCGAAGTAATTGAGCTGTTAAGCGGAGGTCGTCAGATTAAAGGTCGTGGTTACGACATGGTTAGAGCCCGAGGCAGGTAGGTTGTGAGGTCGTTCGGACGATCTAAGGACTTAAGTGTTGTATGGTAAGAGGAGACAGAATCCTTCAAGGATGGAAAGTGTATTTTGTAGGGAGTCTGAGATTTTAGAGAGGAGTGATGGAGCATAAGAACTCTGTTATGTCTTGTGGGTCCAACAATATCCAAAAATAATATTCATGGCCACTTTCCTGGAGCCATTTTCTATGGTTATGTTCTTAATCGTGGGCTATGGAAAATAGCGTCGGGCATTTCTGGCCGCTATTCGACGCTATAGCGCCGCTATGGCCGCGCTATAGCGCCGCTATGGCATAGTAGCGCCAAATAGCGCCGCTATAGCGCCAAATAGCGCGAATAGCGCGAATAGCGGCAAAAACAGCAATAGCTTGGCGTTAGCTGATCTGAGCGCCGCTATAGCGCGCTATTTAAAACCATGGTTCTTAAAGATAGATTATTACTTTCCTACTATCCTAAAAATTTTAATATTGATTGTGGAATTCTTACAGAACTCTGTTGGTGAGGAATCATATTTAGCCATTGAAACCAGCGGCCACGGAGCTTTGAAGGAAAACCATTGGCTTGATGATGGCGCATATCTGATGGTATGGCCTTAAATTTTCAACCTTGCCTATAAATGTTAATTTTTGCCTATGGCTAAAGGTCATGATTAATCTCCTCGAGTCAATTGTTTTTTTTACTTCTGGTACCATAACCTTTGGGTCTTTAAAAAAAAAATTATCTTATATTCTTCGCTTATAGAGTTAACATTACTCATAGGTCAAGCTTTTAAACAAACTGGCATCAGCTAAAGCTTCTGGGGTTGGTCAAGGCAGCAAGGTTCTGACTGATATGGTGGATGGTCTAGAGGAACCAGGTTTTGCTGTTGAACTAAGGCTTAAAATAGACCAAAATCACGCAGATCTTAAAGGAGGGTAAAATTATCTATGCTCTGCTTTGTAATAACAGTTCTGGTTGTTCGTTGAGGTCTGGTTTCATTTTGTTTTTCCAATTATTTTTTTCTTTTTCAGATATTTCCGCGATTATGGAGAAGCTGTGCTGCAGTATTTGACCAACATCGTGGATTCAGATCCAAAACTTGCAAAAGCGCCTGTTAACTACGAAGGAGTAAGTTGTAGTTGGTTAGATAAACTCTCATTTTGGAAGTTGTTTTCTATGACAATAGTTACTCATGATGTTTAACCTTATTGCTAGCTTTCATAATCACAATGTACAAATCCCTAGCGATGTATGTTTCTCTTTTACAAAGTGCACCCTCGAGGAGTATTTGTTTTGTACTAGCTAATGGGGTTCGATAACCATTTAAGGCCAATTCAAGTGAAAACTGATCTTTTATTTTATTTTATTTTATTTATTTTATTTTTTGGGGTGAACATCAGGAGTATTTTTGTAACTACCCCTTTCTATAATTCAAGTGAACATATTTGATTACGATTTGTTTATATAATCACATCATTGATTAGAATAGAAGTCATCGGATTGAGCCGAGTAACTGATGGGTTAAACCTCAAGAATATTTCACTGGGAAACATGTTTGTCTTCATATTGGTGATATATATATA